GAGATATTTATCTGAAACTTTGCAAACGTCCTTTTCTCTTTAAAAAGCGGCTCATTTGTTGGAACCGCTGATATCGGACCACTATAGCATATAGCTGTTATACAAACTGAACGATCGGAATCAAGTGCTTGTGGGAAAAACTTTTTCATTTGATGAGATATCTTCAAGTAATTTGGCAAAGATTATTGTTTAAGGCAATGGTGCAATTTCCGAAGAAACTGTTCAGAACGAGTCACTATAGCATATACGAGTAGCTGCAACTGACCGGATCAAAATTTGCAAGTTATCTTTTGTATTTGTGAAGGGTATTATAATTTCGGTGCAACCGTAGTAAATGTTTTTTCAAAGCAAACCTTTTTTACTAAAAATATGGGCCAATATTTACTGTCACTTGCTGATAAAGCTGTCATTAAAGTAACTTTGAGTGAACAAAGGGGTTTAAAGTTTCAAAAGAGAATCGATGTTACTCCAATTTAAGAGAACCATAGTAATTTGTTCTTAACCTTGTTTGGACTTTTGTGTGGAAAGCGGTAATTCATGCCTACATATAAAAGGTTACACCGACTCTGTGTAGATTTTAGCTAACTACGAGCAGGCATTCTTAAGTGCCCCTTTCTGAATACATGGACGTTTTGAGTCGATCATGTTTGTTTCTTAATTTAACCTGCCTTTTGGAACCCTCCAGCAATTTTTTAGTCGAAAAAACGTTCCTTCGATAGAATTTTCGTAGCTTGCAATGATGGTCCCTCCGTCTTAGGCCGTTAATTCAAACAGAAACGTACTTCAGTTCCACCTTGTATCAAAATTCTTGTCGTTGGAAAGCTACACTCTCTCCAGTGAACATAAGCTTTTATTATATTTTCAACAAAGTTAGTGATCCTTACTAAAACGCTAATAGTGTAACCTAAGGTGTAAAAAAATTACTTAAGAAAGTTCTTAAATAGAGTGCGCTGCGAATACTATTGATTATGGAACAAAATAATGTGCTACTACTTTGCAGAACATATAATTATCTACAAAAAATATCGCAACAGCATATGTCAAACTGTTATACCTAGTTACGCAACCTCATCAAAATTTATTACTTCGTGTTCAAGACTGATCCAATACCTTTATATAACTTCTTGAATTATTCGAGTCAGTTAAATTCGAAATATATCATGAATTTAAAAATTAAGTATTAGAAAAAAATTGCGTGGAGAGCGGCGACTCGCTCGGATAGGCTGCAACATAATATGCGATGTTAGCTTCATTGGGCCACGGGAGAAAGTCAATGTCAAAGCTAGAAGTCTACTGAGCAAGGAAAGCAAGGGAGTTGGAAGCGAAGTTAAAAAATGTCATAATTGTTTCTTCTTATATAAAAAAATATTCTTGTCAAAGGCTGAAGGAATATGAAATTTGTAAAACAATTATGGAAAGTGGAAAAATAGTGTGGTGGATTTTATTAGGATTAAGATTTTAGATCTAGAAGCCTCACTTCTTTCATGTTAAAAGTGTTAGAAATAAAGAGCTCTTTATTGTAGGAAGGAAGTCGGGAGTGCTAGTACAAAATGTCGATAAAATGGAATGATCGATAGAAAATGGTCGTCACGAGATTGCATGCAATATTAAATGAATGTCCTGTGATTGTCAGAGGGCGAAAACGACCTTAATTTTATTTCTTGCCTCTTAACATTAATTGGTTACAATTGGATTTGGATTGGATGCACAATTCTTTTGAAGCTACTTTCCCCTTTCTTCAATAGACTTCTACAAATAAATTTCTCTTTCGTGATGGTCCTTAGCTGCATTTAAATATTGTATTTTGCAATATCTTACACACGACATACAAATATAAGTAAGGTATGTAGTTGTATGTTTTGTCCAAAGCCATGTAAAGCCATTCACACTGCAAGCTTATATTTAATTTCTCACATGTATGTAAATATATATATATATAAATGTATTTATTTATAAACCGTATACATATACCTATGTAATTTCACTGATTTAAAAAGTCTTTGTGTTTTTTGTATATTTTATTTTTCCTTTCCACCATAAACAAGTGGCAGCTCTCTGGTGCGCCTTTTGTACTGTGCGGCGTGATTTTTATCGCACCTCAAACAATATTATTTCCGAGCTCAAAGCAGTTTATTATTTCTCATAAATGGGTTGGAATCTAAATCGACATGCATATTTGCTTATGCGCTTTCATACTTACATACATGCATACATAAATTCGTACGTGCAATCATATCATTAGAAATGTCGCTACAGATTTCCTTTAAAGCTTCTATTTGCGTGCCAACAGTGGCACAGCGCATAGCACCGCATAGGACTGCATTGTACTATGGTTTAGAAAAGACAAATATTAGCGGATAATATAAAATCAACTAATACACTCATGGATAGACGAAAGATATTGCTATGACATTCTTCCTACTCATTCTTTGTAAGATATATAGACCGTTGAAAAGTGGAAGCACTTATACTCAAAGCATTCTCGCTTTAGACCGAGAGCTCTTTCAAGTATTCAGTCTTTTTCACCTAAGAAAAGGCAAAAGCATATATTTCCATATACTTTGCTCTTACATTTTCACTAATACCAGCCGTGAGCTTGGTACAAAGTTGGAGGACTTTGCAACTAGCTAGCCAGTACATTCATATAAGTAAAGTTTGGTTTTGATATGTCAGCAAAGATTTTGCAATATTAGTTATACTTTCCGATTAGATCATGAATGAGCTTTAAGGCCACGCTATAATTCTACGAGCTTTTTTGTAACTTTCAGTTAATAATTTTCTAGTCTAGTTCCTTATGAGAAATCCCACTGTACACCAATATCCTGTTGACGTTTAAGTTGTGCTTTACTTACTCTTGCTTTTTTAATAAAATGCTTAGCTCTATTTGTCTTATCCGGGATTTCTATATGCACTTTTCTAAAATGCAAACAAACCATGCAAATGTGTTAGTGTGCGAAAATATTTCTGAGTGTGGCTGCCTGTGTCAAGCTTTGGTGTTCATAAACAGCTTGCAATATCGCACACCATGGGGGGTTTAACAAGTGACAATTCTGGCTATTATCCGCACGGCATGTGGTGTGGCTTACCTTAGTGTTCGACCGAATATTCGGTTTCAGTTATCACGTGATTTCAAAACTGGAAGCTAAATTTAAAAAATGTAAAATGACATCATAGAACTAAAGGACCTCCAAAGTATTTTCGAAGAGTATATTCAAAATTACTCTTATATAAGTCTTGAACTTGTCATCATCGTTTCGTAGATCCAATATAAGATATTGTAGCCTATGGAATCTCATAAATAGCATGCATTTTGAAAAAATCCTTCTCTTCACCTTTGTTAAATCCAACAACCTCTTTGCTATTCTTCTTCCTTAAGATTCGATATAAATTTAAACAAGTGTCAAACGAACATTTTGGTTGCCTGAGAATCATTTCTTGTCGATTGAACTGCGCACTTTCAGAATTTTTTTTAAATATTAGAGCCATTTATAAGTAGATATTTTTAAGCAAGTGCAATCCTTAGTACCGAAACCTATATAACATAGAAGAAAGTATTGCCTGAGCCAGAAGAAGGATTTCAGTTTTGAGGTTTTGGATCGATAAACCGGCTATTCAGTACACTACTGAGTTCAAAGTGGGGAACTTAAATCCTTGTAACTTGCCTATATTTTAGAAAATACCCTTAAGAAATAAAACCTGAGAGCATTTCAAAGAACCCTGACCGATGCTTTGCTAAACTTATTCCTAGAAACTTTGGACAATTTCACAAACCTGTAAAACAGCAAAAAAGCTCTCTGCCTTTTAACTTCTATATTTTTCTCTTTCTCTAACTCTATCTTGCGCTCTCTCTACCTCTATTTTCCTCTCTCTTTCTCTGAAGCAGGCATAACCAATATTTTTGTCAGCCAATGTTCCTAAGCTTTCTGTTGGCCGCAATATTATTTGAGGCGTACACCCAGTGTGACAGCAGAAAAAAATGTCCTCCGCTGCGGCAGGGATTCTGTCCAGCTCCGTGGATGAAACATAGAAAAAATTCTCTCTAGAAGAAATTGCTTGAGCTTACAAACTGCAGTATTCATATTACAACCTGGTTAAAAATCTATCGAATACCGAATAACGGCTTCGGTTGAGCACTACCCAGCAAAACGAAAGCTCCTCTTAATATCCATTAAAATGTGCGGGAGCAATGCAATTTTGCGTTGCTTTACAGCTCGCTCAAATGCGTTTCCTTTTTTTCGTTAATAAAAGGAAGCGCTCAAAAGGCTGTCATTCCTGCATAGACAATCCTTTGAGGACGCGCGACGACGAATTGCGAAGACACAAGCGCGTGCAATGGCGGCGCGAAGAGCGCTAAGCGGAAAGAGTCAAGACAGTTGAAATGAAATCCTTTACTTCGTATTTGAATTTCAACTATTCACACACATACATACATACATGTATGTGTACCGTTATAGGCTGATAAGAGATAAGAAATCAGCAGGTAAATAGCACATATGCTTGCATGGGCAGAAATTAATGAGGAAGCCTACTCATTTACAGATCAAATGAAGCAATAATAAATGTGCAGCAACAAAAACAAAAAAGTAATGAGGTGCCGTTACAAAAATTTCTCACAAATGAAGCGTTTAGAAAAGTTATGTTTTGAAATACTGCCACCATTCGGGCGCGTGGGTACTCATTTAGCTCGACATTTATAAAAGAAAAAAAATGTTTTGTTGTTGTTGGTGTTTTTGTTTTTGTTGGTTTATCGCACCAACCAAATCAAAGTCGTCCAAAGTGTGACAAGCATTTTGCATTTTAATTAAAAATACCACATGGCTCGATACATACTTATACTCAATGCTCATTGCATACCTGTGTATTATTGTTGTTGTTTTCACATTTACAATTTATTTCGCATTGCTCTGTGTAACTGTTATCGCTTATCAATTTGTATGATGGCTGCTTAAAAAAATCATCATTCCACTCATGAATTTTTCGTAACTTCTTTTTCATTACAGTTCTAAGACAAGGCATGTGGCACAAACACACACATACTTATGTACATAGGAATATGGAAACGTGTGTTTAATAAATTAGAGCAACGGAGCAACAATATTTGGTGGGCGGCAGGCTGACTTTATCACCTACAATACAGTTATCCAGTGAATGATCTTCTGGATGTATTTGAGCAGGTGTGAGAACTGAAGGCAAATATGTTGCAGCGTACAAAATCGGCGAGAAATCGTAAAAGTAGTGGCAGGTAAAGAATATATTACTTATTTTTAGCATTTTATCAGTTTGGTGTCAATTAATCACAAACATTTTATAACTTGATTAAGTGCCTCTAATGCCACCTTTATACCAATGCACTCGCTCTACTTGTAGTTTGAATTAAATCAACAACTCTGAAAAAAAGCGCCTATAACCAGATTTCACTCATCGTGAGGTTTTTTCGGTACAAGTCCCTACCTCCGTCTGAGCGCTTGGTTCACAGATAGTCCACTGTTTTACCTCTTTTTTTATTATATTCATATTCCGCATGTGATTTTGAAAGTTCTGGTTTTGACTTGACGACCACCAAATATTTCATTGAAGTACTCACAATAATGCACTTGAGGTCGAGTACAATCAAATCCCTCGGAAAGCATTTTCATATCCGAACCCAACAAATTCTCACCCTGAAAATCATCCTTTTATCGTTGATTTTACGGATTTATTTCTAAATAATTATTAAACAAAGAACTCATATTGTGGAAATTTCACGTCTCCGGTTCTTCTAAGAATGTGATTAAGAGAATAAAGCCTTCAGCCAAAACTCATATAATCGTTATGAAAAAAATTTTCTTTGTCTCCGATTTGAGTATTTTGAATTTACAATATGATTTGAAGTTTTCCTTTTAAGGGATGTAGTGAAGTCTCACCTATAGCTTCAGAAAATGCTGTTCTAACGGCAAAATTATGACCTGAAAACTCAATCTATAAAGGCCAGGAAAATCTGGACAGTTTAGGAAACGCATTTGTCTCATAATATTTTTCCCAGAGAAGGTAAAATCTTTATACATTTCCCTTATTTTGAGTTCTCTGAAAAAAGCTTTATTTTCTCTTAACCGAAAAGTCTTCCCATCATATAAAGTATTCTCAATTTAGCAAAGTTTCAAACACTTTCGCAGCAAAGTCAACTCCGAAAAAGCACAAACAAAAACCAACGAGAACAGAATTTTCATCACTTTGAAAGCCTTAGTAATAGTTTGGATGAAGAAAACATCGTACAATTGAAAGGCCACTATACTTTTAGGTTTGCGACTTAGCTAGGAAAGCAATTTGGTCATGCTCCTATAAAATTCACAAACTGTGCTTTTATGCGCGCCATCTAGCGATGATATTTAAAATAATTTTTGAGCATGAATTTCTGTTGCAATCTGTTTGTATGGATACACACATAGATTTATTGTCTATTATTTTATGTCTATAATATAATTTCTTTGATTATTTTATGGATTAATTTAATTTTTCCCTGAACAGGGTATATTAGAATTGTAAAAATATGTTGGAGTTCAAATAAAATATATAGTATGTACATGATCAGCTGTGTCGATTTTGCCATGTCCGGCGAATTGAAATTATGCACACGTCCTTTTCACCAAGAAGCTGTTCATTTGTCGGAGCCGCCGGTATCGGATCACTACAGGACAGCTGCCATACACACTGACTGATCAAAATCAAGATCTTATATGGAACCTGTTTTATATGTGAAGGTTACTATAGCTTCGGTATAACCGATGTTAACATTTTTCTTGTTTTTTATTTCTTGAAGTTAGTTATTATCAAGTTTCTGTATCTTTGGGTCTCTATTTTGAGTTAATTGTATTATTTTAGGCTTATTTTTCTTTCAAATAGAAGAATAATAATTTCTTTTTCTTCACATTATAGATGCAGTGATGGGGACTCATCGGCGAATGAGGCGCCAGTTTTCGTAAGTATCAAAAAATAATAATTTTATTGTTTTACATTACGAGACATAAGTTATCTACGAAAAGATAGTTAATTTGATAATTCAACTCGTTAATAAAAATGATACCATGAGACACATGGTTTGAACCATGAGACAAATAAAAGCTCCCAATTAGTTTATTACAGTATGTATAGTTATAATATTGTAACCTTCACTTCCTCAATATCAACGTGCTCTCCATGAGAGCTTAACTTCAAAATAGAAAAGAGAAGTTTTTCTACATATGTATTGATGTACTTTCTCTAGACAGTCAAATTTTGTAAGAAGTCAGAAAATTGCCTGGGTCCTTCCAATCTGACATCTGGAAGCCGTTATCCTATTAATTTAGTCGTATTCTCAATATAATCAGTGATTTGCCTATTTTCCTAATTGGACAGATTTCATAGACTAACTCAATAGTGAATTTTATCAATAGGAAAATTATTATAGATATCAGATTATAGCCCCATTGCACACCAGATTATACTTTTTGGATATACACATGTTCAGTTCACAAAAAAGTCATACATGGGTGGTTGATAAAATGGATACAATCTCAAGCTTTTCCCAAAATCTAATTGAACCTTTTGAGATAGCTTCAACTAAGTATAATAGAGAACAGTTTCATCAAGCTACTTTTGCAGTGAATACGTAATCAGCCTGATATTTGTGGAACCACGAATAACCCCACTTGAGTGTGTGATATCAAGAATGAAAGAAGCGGTATGCTTGGTTTACATTTCCATTGAAAGTTTGACGGTTTCTTCAGCTTTTGAGGTAGAATGCCCTAATCTAGTACTCTATCATACTTGATTTAATCCTTTAAGGTATTTCAGTAAATTGTGACCAGGAAGTTTCCAGTTTCAGCACTTTTTGTGTTAATTTGGTAGTACTGTCCTTAATTAATATGCCAAAAATGAGCGCAATCTGTTAACCAATTTGTTTGCAGCAGCTGTTGAAATCAGTCGACCTCTGTAGTGTTTTGCGCTTTTGACAATGGAAAAAAATACTGAACAAAGAGTTTGCATTAAAGTTTTGTATTTCGAACCAAATTTCGTTGCGGAATCGTTGCGAATGTTGAAAAGGCTTATAGTGAATCTATTCTATCGAAAACCCAAGACTACAACTGGTGCAAAGCCTTTAAGGATGCTCAAGAAACTGTCGAAGACATGCCTCATTCCGGTCGTCTTTCGACGTCTACCACTGACGATAAAAGTGAAGGAAATCGTGCTCGTAAATCGTCATGCGAGTGTTAGAGAGACAGCACTTAAGTTAAACATCGGCCGTGAACAGCTCGTTTAATTTTGACCGACAATTTGGGCGTGAGACATGTCAATGCTCGGCTTGTTTCAAAAGAGCTGAATTTATTGCAAAAAGACCGCAACGAGCTGCAGTTGTGAATGATTTTAAGACCAAAAACTCGTTCAATACCATCGATTAACCACCATATTCACCAGATTTGGCTCCGTGTGACTTTTTTTTTATTTCCAAAACTCAAGTTACCACTCCGTGGAACCCGTTTCGACTCGATTGCGATCCTGGACAGCGTCTACAAAACATGTTTCGATAATAGAAAAAAGAGGTGGCATATGTGTAACCCTTCAGAAGGAGCATATTTTGAAAGCGTCAAAATAAATATTGATGAAGATTAAAAATGTTTAGTTTTATTTACAATTTCCGGAAACTTTCTGGTCACAAGGTATAATTCAATGTTTAGAAATTGTGACGCGTCATTTTAGCCCAAGTGTAGTTTCAAGATATCAAAAAATGACAAGACACGATGTAGATGACTATAAACATTTCATATCCTTTCTCAGGAGTGATTTGACGATAAATAATAGTACCTCGGAAAATAATCCTCTACGTTTTATAATCGTTAAATAATGAATACATTGCGATTCATGACGGATGACAAAACAGTTATAGAATGCGGTTTCGGGTGGTTATTTAATTTTTTGATAACGTTATACTTGTAGACCAACCTATTGAGGAAGGCTAAATCCACTTACGCCAAGAAAAATATAATAGAATAGATACAGCTGCTGTAAATAATTTCTTGTCTCGAAGTCAGAAAAAGTGATTCTGTAGAAGAAGTTTTAGATCGAATGATGAGGTCTTCGTTGGAAGAAATACTTATTTTGAAAAATTTGAGGAGGCATTATTAACAAAAGTGCTAGAAGACCTTTTGCCAAATGGATAGATCAGCGACTTGTCATATTGCCCTGCCCACTTATGCATACACCTATACATACGTATATATATACATACTATACATACACCTATAAGGATGTGTATGCTGCCACAAGTCCAAAGTATATTTGCGTTACTCTAAAAAACGTAAAAATTAAAACAATAAATTCCTAAAATAAAATTCCTTCACTTTATTCAATGGCTTGGCAACTTTACAACTTCGTGTGGCATGCAACCACATGTCACACTTTTACCGCAGCTCTAACACCAACACTTGGCATTGCGCATTTCATGCACGCTAGCCTCAGACTCTACAAGTGCATTCCTTGACAGCACACACATGCACATATGTATATGTGTACAAACACTCACATAAACACATACACATGTGTGCGGTGTCTGATTTGTTGCCGTTTTGACTTTTTGTTGCTCGTGATTTTGATGGAATTCTTCGTTTTGATAGCGGCGAGCATTGTTCTAACAGTTTGTTGTTGTTGGTATTGTCGAAATTTTTGTTTTTGTGCGTGTGTGTGAGCTTGTTTTTTCTCCGTTTTATTTTGATAGTAAATTTTACGATGTCAATGTGGTATGTGGCGTGCGGCATGCGACCAGCCATATGCTACACTTGTAATAAAAAGCCAAATTCCGCACGCACGCTCGGCCCCCCTCACGCCCCCTCAGCACTATCGTTCGGTATGTGGGAGCAATCGTATCACTTTCATATTTGTTTACAAGCAGCTGTGTGGGTGCATGTGTGTGCGTGTGCACTAAATTCTTCCATATAGCGCGTGCTGCAACAACACACACACCCACACATACGCGCTGCTTCATTGCCTGATTTCCGCTCCGTCATTGGTGTTTTTACAACTTGAAGACTTGTCTCCGCTGCTTGTTGCAGTTGCATGTCGGTGCATCTTGTTTGACGATTTTAATGATTTAATTGTGTCTGTGCTCGTCGACGATTTTCGTGTGTTCGCATTTAAATTGATGAGACGTGATGTCGTAAAATGAGAATTTAAGCTCACAATTCGGTGGCAATCACAGAACAACTGTGCAGCGTGTAAACATGAAATTTCAAGTGATTTACATAATAAACTTTAATAGGATTTTATGCTTGTTAGCAGGCAGTCGGGCATATCTATGTCACTTGGTGGGGGAATCGGGAGCATATTGAAGGTGAACGCCTTAAAGAGAGCGTAAAATAAATTCTATGGATGGCAAGTTCTCTCTAGCATGGTGTATTAGAGTAGTGGTAGTTGATAGTCGAAAGCCATCCTCATTTTTTACGGACTTACAATAGGTCAACGGACGTACAAACAAAATTTAGGTTAGGTTACAGTGATTTTCCCTAGCATATTATAATATGTGAAAATAGTACAGTAATTCGAGGTAGTTGTGGCGAATATAGTCCTTTCAAAGAAAATACAGAAAACGTTGCAAGGACTTAAGTTCACCAACAGCTTTCTAAGCAATCGAATCGAAATCATCTTCGATGACTGCCAAAGAGCTTGCGATTCTATAAAACCTTTGAAAGCAATTGTGTGGAGGTCAATATACCTAATGCCTCATTTAATTGCATGATTCGCTTAGAAGACGAAGAACATCTTGAGCGGCCAAAAACGTTTGAAGATGAGGAACTGAACGGATTACTCATTGAAGATTGTTACCAAACACGAGAAGCGCTCGCAGAAGCTTTGGGAGTCACCCAAGCAGTCATTTCAAAACGTTTAAAAGCAGCCGGATACATTCAAAAGTAAGGAAATATGATTTGGAGGCAAGAGACGTTGAAAGACGATTTCACACGTCAGAAATGCTGCTTTAGCGCTTAAAAAAGAAATCGGTTTTGCAGCAGATTGTGACTGGTAATGAAATATAGATCAATTACGACAACTCTAAACCCAAAAAATTATATTCGAACTTTGGTCAACCAGCCAAATCAAAAACAAAGCCGAATATCCATGACAACAAGATATTTGGAGAGATCGAAAGGGCATAGTGTATACAAAGTTTCTAAAGCCGGATCAAACCATTAACGGGGAATGCTACCGACAACAGTTCATTAAATTGTAGCGAGCGATTGCTTAAAGTGCCCGGAATTTGCGACTAGACACGAGGCAATTATTTTTTATCATGACAAGGCTCGGCCTCATGTTGAAAGATCGAAAAACTATTTGGCAAACAGCGGCTGGAAAGTTTTACCTCACTCACTGTATAGCCCAGATCTTGTCCTTTCTGACAACCACTTGTTCCTGTCGATGCTGAAGGCCCTCACTGGAATACGGCTCTCATTAGAACATAATATCAAAATTATGCTGATTAATTCTTGACCGCCAAGCCGACGGAGTTCTATTGAGATAAAATCCACAAACTGTCAGAAAGCTGAATAAATGTTATATCTTTGGTCAATACTATTGAACTTGTTTTTACTTAATTAAATAAATAAAAGTTAAATACATTCTCATGTAAAGGGAAATGCAAAGAGGTACTTCGTGTCATGGATATGGCAGGTTCCAGTGGTCCGAATGGCTAAGAATTTAAACCACGGCGGTATTCAGAAAATAAAGGTGGGAAATTATTTAGGCTCCCCACCGCTACTCACTTACTTAGTTATGAATCTATTGTTATTTGATTTTCGCGACATCTTTCATGAAACGTACTCCAGTTGAAATATGTCTCTCTAGTTTTATGCTAAGGTCCTAGACCCTATCTAGAACTTAAACCTCAAGTATTGTAGATGGTGAAAAAAACTAATACAAGAGTTAAACGAATTGCAAAGCTCCAAACATTGTTCACCCAAAAAAAGAATCTTTACTAAACCATTTAACGTTTTTAATCTTTTGCAGGCCTCTGTGCATCGGGCCCGACACAATGGGGCAGGCAGCAGCTCGGCTGTTAGACGTGATGGCCCACTAAAGGCTGCAACTTGTGGTGGCCATCAGCAACGTCAAAGCTATCATCAGTATCAGCAGCAACGTAAATTACAACACCAGATTCAACAACAACAACAACAGCAGCAATCAGTAGGCAATGAAAATTCGAGTGCCTCACAAAAACTAGCCAAAACGACGCGCAATTGGAACGACACACAGCAACAACAACAATCGCAACAACCGAGTACCGTTGACACTGCAACGAAGCAATCAATTGCGGTGTCAATGCCGCAATCATTGGTGGCTGCCACTGCAGCGAACCATGGCCGGCCGGCAATGCAACAAATCAATACAAATGGTGGTACACAACGCGATGCATCGCCAACGAAGACGAGTCGTATACCCTTACAACAACAGCAACTCAACCAAGTGCAACCAAATTTTAATCAAATATCCAAAACCGCTACAAATCTATTGAATGATATTTACGAGCGGCATCTCTTGAATCAGACGACGTTCCAGGCCGAGCATAGCCAAGACCGACCGCAACAGTCACAACAGCAGCAACAACAACCAAATAAGCTGCAGCTGCAGCAACAGCCACAATCACAGCCGAGGCATCACCTGCAGCAGCAACGTTTCTTGGCTGCACGTCAGGTGGGTCCAGAGGTGGAGCTTAATTTTGCTAGTTCCTCGACACAACAACAACAGCAAAGAAATCAACAACAGCAGCATGCACAGCAATCGCCACGCCATTTTCTGTCTTTCGGCAATCAACAGGCACAACAACATTCAACGCACTTTACTGCCAGCGCCCAGGAAGGTGGCAACTCCGCGCTGGCAACATTTGTACCTATACACGGGAGTAACAAGCAACATGTTGCACAAAAGCCAGTGCACTTCTTAAAGTTGCCACCACCACCACCGTTGGCCGCGCCACCTACCAACGCGCTTGGACAAACAGTGTCAGAGCCACCAAACGAGCTTGGCTCTTACACATCTTATCAGCAACATTTCCAATTCTCCGATGCATATGTTGAGCCTGTAGATAGCTGTAAACATTTCCTCTTGCAATCTGATGCGGCCAGGACGGCCAATCCACCGCCTCCACCCGCGCCACTTAATCACGTCTACGAGACGATTAAGGAGCGACCACCGATGCCGCCGCCAAAGAATGTGAAAACTGCGAACTTCGAAGGCGGGATTGTTGGCGAGGACGAAGCACCACCACTACCACCATCGCGGCAGTTGAAAAAGCGTTTGGTGGCCGCCGCCGCGAAGGTCGGTAGCAATAAACGTACTACAACAACAGCAAATACGAATGGTAGTCAAAGCAAAATTGATGCAGGTCAGTTGGCCTGCAATGGCAAGCTCAACAGCAAATTATTGCCCATGCAACCGCCCGCATACGTGGCGCCACCAGCTGCGGGTTCGGCAAAACAAGCAGTACCAAAGCAGCAACCGCAGCAGCAGCAGTATAATCCGCAACAACGCACGAAGGCGGACGGCGAGCAACGTCCTTACCTTTATCAGCAATTGCGCGAGCGACAACAGCAGCAACAACAGCAAGCGTCTGCATTAAAGGCAACTGCTCAGCGTCAGCCTCAACACCACCTACAACAACAACCACAACAACAACACCAACGTTCCAACCAAACACAAGTGCGGGAGCATCCTTTGGGCGCCCATGCAGACCAACACGGCGCACAAAAGCTGCAGTCTCAGCAACAAAAACAACAACAATTTACTAATATCAACAACAGTCAACAAAAGCCGGTTGAAAATATGATTACCCAATCTGCAGTCGCTTTAACCACCACAAAAGCAACGGTGCATGCTACCAACATACCGTTCGCAACGCTGACTAACACAGCCAACTCAAACTCCACCTCCGCGGCGTCCATTGATGTTTCCGATAGCTCGGTGGAGTTGTTGTTACAACAAGCCGGTTTGTTACATTCGCATGCAACCTCATTAACGGCACATAGCGGCGGCGGCGCCGACAAAGCTCCACAAACCGCTTATAATAATAATGCCAACCATACTGGCGGCATTGGCAACAACAACAGCAGTAACATATCCAATTTGCATCCCACGCGTCCAACTGCATTGCCAATCGTTTTCGAGGAGGATACCGGTGAGTTTCAGGACGTGCTTGTTCTCGAAGAGGACGGCACGGCTAAACTACCGTATCGACACGGCAAGATCGAGGTGCGTTTGGAGACAGCGCAGGCGATGGCCGCGGCTGCTTATTATGCCAGGTAAGTTTAAATTAGATTTTTGTAGCATATTGTGATGCAGAGGAAGCTGTTGTGTTGATGTTTATATCTAGAAGTTAGTGTGTATGTAAGAGCCAGTAGAGGGGTTACGCCAATTGGCGGCTTATTTGATGGTTGGACTAATGAAAATTCGCAAACTTTTTGGATGTCTTAAAGAGGTTGACAGCTTATTGACGCTTGGAGGTTGTTTGCTTGAGTTATCTATCTTTTTTATACCGCCGAATGACCGATATCCAAAACATCGTCGTATATTCGGTTGCCAAGCAGCCAGTAGTAACTTTGGGTTTGAAAAATATTTATTACTAATTCGATTCTCTAGTGCATTCACTATTCGAGAGAAGAAAACAGGGTGAGCTGAGTGACTTTGAAGAAAGCAAATGTTTTCCACGGATAGAGTCATTAGGATTATCTCTATTATCTAAGATTAAATTGTAAATAATTTTCTTTAGTTCACATAAACTTGTCTCTTTGAATTACTTTGTAACTTGAAACTACCAAAAACAGAGAGAGTTGGTTCTTAGGCGAAATCCCTAGCTTATATTAAGTTAGAATAAGCCTATGTTGACAGGCATACGAATATTTACGAATACTTGCCCGAGCGCCAATTCGCTTTAGTGTCACAACAGTAGAAAGCAGTTCTGGTTTTAAACACAGTGAAGGTCTCCTCATTTCGGTTAATTTGGAAGCATGGTAGTGGTTCTATTTCAAAATTAGTAAAATACTTCGTCCTACAATTTTCTAAGACGACTTCGATGATCGTCCAAGCACAAAGCCTTTTTCAAGAGTGGGTCGAGTTCATTTTAAATTAATTCTGTACATAGACGTCTAGCTGCTTTGACTAAATAACCTCGAAACCGCTTGGAAGATCTTTGCTTGGATGACGCTATTAACAATAAGATATTATAGCGGAGAAAAGTTTATTTAAAAAGCAAGTTTGTAATAACTCGAACTCAACAGAAAAGCACCAGAGATCCAGGTTTTAAAGATATCAACGGAATTTACTTCTGAAGCCTAAATCGTATTATGTTTCTACGGAAAAGAAGTGCTTTAAAATTTTGTAAGTATGTTAGTCTATATCTTCTCTTTCTGCCGCCTAAATAACCTCAGCTGAGCGAAACTTCATTAGTCTTACTAGCAAAACCAACATAGGGAAATTATAGGTGCATATGAGAGCTATGTGAGTTTTTAATTAAGTGATCCCCACCTTGCTTTGACGTTTGCTGGCGGCAGTCAAACAAAGCCTTTGCATTCACCTTATTCATTGCCGGCGATAACCATTCATCGATGTTGCGCTTTTATGCCAGCTTCGGCTTTGTATTCTTACGTTTCTTCTCCTTCTTCTTCTACACTGTTTACAGCTAGTGTTTTCGACTTTCCACCTATGATTATTATCTTCAATGGGGTTTCTTCTTCCGCCCACTAAGTTTCTAAAGCTTTTTCATGTTCGCCGCAGCTTTAGAAACCGTTATTGAGCGTAATGAAGCGGAAATCTATTAGAGATTTTTATCTCGTTTTGAAATTATGGCGGCAGTCCTTTGGTAGTTGGAACAAAGGAAATGAGAAAATAAAGTGGAAGTGTTGCACGGTATAATAATATTGTGCATTACCTGAGGTGTTTATAATTAATTAATTGTGTTTTAATTAAAATTTAAAAAGTGAATGTTGTAATGTTTGGTGTTGGTATACGTTTAAGGAGTTGGCTGGAGGATATGTAAGGGCCAGAAAGATATTGTTTAGCAATTGGCGGAGAATTTAGGTAATTTTCAATACTTTATTTTAAAAAAATATATTTTTAGTTGACCGCAAGTTAACTTGAGCTAATCAAATAGTCCGGCATTAGATTGACGTGGTTTATAGCTCAGTTTCTTTCCATCATAAAATTTAGTTTCTCAAAATGTTCAGATTTCGGATCTCGCTCATCCATCGGGCTGTTTCTTTGATTCTCCATCCGAAGACAGCGATCTCTTTTTATGATATTTCTGTCTTCTGCAAAGGCTATTAGACTGTTTCTTAAAAAAACTATGTTATATTTGGTACAAAAAACCTAAAAAATACCTTCTTATACACCCTTGCATAGTTAAAATTAAACAAATCGGGTTCGGATTAGAATTTAGGGAATATGTTCAGGTGGATAGCGCTCAAAAGGTAATAAACTAGGTTAGTTTAGGTTAAAAGGTCAATCCTTATAGGGATCTCACTTAGCCAGCTCAGAATGCCGGTCCCTTGTAGTATCTAAAAGTCCTACAAGTATATAATTGATCATAATTGATCATAAGATTCCGACAAATCGACAAAGCGCATTGACCCGATCACAAATTTGTTAGTTTGGGCTATGTCTCCTAGTTCGCCGAAGATAAGACTGCCGAAATGTTTCAACGTCAGTCTTGCGAACGCTGAAAAAGAAAGAAAAAAGTGTCTAGATGTTTCCACCTCACCTTCTTCTACACAACTTTGACAGCTTGCGTCCGACAAGATATTTAGACTTACCTCATGAATGCATGTCCGACCAGTAAGAAATTCTACTATTGCGGCAAGGTAAACTGTGCTGAAAGCAAGTATTTCAGTAGATCTCCCGCGTTCTACTGTAGGCCAAAAGGTCGCAAAGAATCTGGTCGACGACCAACGCCTGTTAAATCATAAGTCCAGTGCCAGAGGGAAAGATGACAACGGAGATCCAACTCATACCCGCTCAGCTGTGAGCGGGGCAAGGATTCCGCTTTTTATTTAGCTCATCGGCACCGATTCGCTCTGACCAGATACCCAAGCTGAAGTGATAGTGAAGTAGCCTGATGCTATAGATAGTCAGGACATATAACATACTTCTTGACTAACATAGAGCGCACAGTTAACTAATATTGCCGCTATGCTCTCGGCGTAGATGTTCACCACCCTGAAAGAGGCAGCACTTTAAAGCAGTAATGAACTAATAACAACCACTTCTGCCTGAAAGTGGTCCGATAGCCTAAAGCTAAGCTTGACTGAGAGCTCCTTACAGAAAACTCTCCTCTTCTCAAGTGACTTCTCACCATCGGATATGTAGATCTCCTCAGTATGTGAGCAGAGAAAAAGCAACCACGACTAGCCTCTGCGATGCAGTGTTCCAAGCTTTTAGGGCTGCAGTTGAAGGATGGGGGAATTTCAGCGTGTCCTTGCTTAGACTACTTTATATACCCAGCTTCCACTGGGGCTATGTATGTGTGAAATAACATTAAGTGCTTATTATTATTGGTGTAGTTCGGAATGCACCGGAGACGAATATACCATGAAACATTACTGATTTGGAATGTGGCGATTCGAACAAATGACCAGTTTACTCTTTAACATCCATTCGGGGAAAGCAGAAGAATTCAAGTAATCAGCTGTTACAAACAATCCTTTATTGACTTTAATCGTGTAACTTCGTTGAAAGTTGATTGTAATACTTAACTATATATAAACTAAATATCGGAGATCATATGCAAGCAATTTTAAAATGCTTATATGAGTGAACCAATAAATTGCCGGCATCCCTTTAGCTAATTTATAGATTCTTCTATTTCATTCTGGTAACATTTTACATGGTTTCTGTAAGCTCCATACATATTTACAGTTACAGATATTTATCTATTGGGACGAATATTAAGTACACCCAATAGGATTATTGATCTCAGTCATCAACAGATACCGCGGTCATACCGCGTGCTCTTGGCTCTCCCACCCAGTTGATTTTTCTTTGCTTTGTGGCGATATTATTTTTATGTTGCAATGCTACTTAGTCTCCTGATACCCAGTTGATGCGATTGATTTAGTTTATTTTTATTTATTTTTTTTTGTACTGATTGTTTTTTTTTTGATAGATTGCAAATAAGGTGAAATAAAACAGTGGCCTCGTGTTGAGCTAAACAATTTTTTTCAATTTTTAATTTTTTTTTTTGGATTCAGTTTTTTTTTCAAATAGCCATTTTTATTTATTCCTTTGCATCGCTTCTTTACTACCATTGCTCGTATTTTCCCGGATTTTTTTTTTCAACCATTACAAAATCATTTGCTTTTTTCTGCACTCCAAGCGGTCGCTACTCTTCCGCTGTCGTCTGTCGTCCTTGTCATTGCTACTCAATGTCCTTGATGTTTATTATTTATTTAGTATTTTTTTGTATATGGCCTTTCATTGTTGTTGCTGGCGCCTGCATTTGACTGCTTTATTACCGCGGCCACTACTGGACTTTTGTTTGACTATTATTTGCTGGTTTTTGGTTGGAGGTTTTTCGTTTTTATCCTTCCCTTTTCGCTGTCCTTTCATTCAGTCCGCTACGTTTTTATTTATCAATCGCGTAAAAGACTTCAAAGTTTTCAATTTGAGGCAACGAGTTCGCGTTTAGAGCGCATAGCTTGGTGGCATATGGCAACTTCTATATTTATATATATATTGTTGTTATTGTGGCATCTAACTGTATTGTGGAATTGTGGCGAGATGCAAAAAACAGAAATGTGGTCATCAAAACTCGCGTTACATCTGACAAATCAATTTCTGTTGCCTCCTCACTCATCTCCTCACTGTAGTCGTTAGCCTTGCTGTCCTTTGTCCTGACGAAGCCCTCTTTTTTGTTGTACCAAATTTCATGAAATTTGACTTGTTTGGTCGCATGTGGCTTTCCATACTTTTTCAGTAGCTTTTTTTATTACCGTTTTTTTTTCGATGTTTTTGTATATTTGTTGCTTTTGTTTATTGCTGTGCTGTGTTTTGCTCCGATTTTTAATCAATGATGGATGAATTACCGGATTTGTTTGTGCTCGTTACCTGCTTTGGCAGCCTTACTCCTCTCTTTCTCACATCTTTCTAACTTTTTTATTCCAACTTTTCATAAAAGGACCCACATATGCCCTTTGTATCGACTGTAATACCTAAATGACATTGATGATGCGCCATTTTTTCTCTCTGTGCGAGCGCAAGTCATTTATTTGCCGATTTGTTTTGTACGTAATGAAAAAGCTGTCATAGAATC